AACAGAAAAACCCAAACAAGAACAAAACAACAAAAGCAACCAAAACAACCCCCCCCCAAAAAAAAACAAAAAAAAACAAAACAAAACAAATCCCAACCTAACGAACAAAAGACAAAGGCCGAAAAACGAACCTGTGTAATAATATCTCTCCTCAAAGCTCTCCAGAGAGGAATTGTTCGCCCTCGGTAGGACAGTACTCAGCCTCTCTGCCCCAGAGTAGGCCGGGTTTGCCAGTGCTAGGGCATCAGCAGCAGCCTCGTTCGCAGCGGCAGAGATTGGGTGAGCAGCCTTGAGATGTTCCACGGCTGTCTCGTTGAGCACTCGTCGGTTCTCGTGCACCCGGAACACGGCGTGGGTTTGAGCGCAGAAGGAGAAGATGCTGATGAAGATGATGGACAGTGAGATATAGCCGTAGATCTGCGAAGAGAATGATATAGGAAGCCGTAGCTAGGTGAAAGGCAAGAGTGCAAGTGTACGAATGAAAAATGATATTATGAATTGATGAACGAGTAAAGACAAATAACTAAATATATAAGATGGAAAAAGTAAGATAACATTTTTACTGATGTCTACAAAGAGAAGTTTTATTTTTGCAGCATGATATATACACATACACACCTGCATGCACGCACACCCACCCCCCCCCACACACACACATACACACATACACACACACAAACACACATACACACACACACACACACACACACACACACACACGCATGCACGCACATACACACATGTATGAATAGTAAATGAATTGACATACAAAATTATGTCATTTTTGCACCGATTACAATGACTGAATATCTCAAAAAATTTATGATGTCGTGACCGAATATATACGTTACCTGTTGATTCTTTAGCTTTTTACCAAATGAAACGTTTATATCTAAAAATAACAATCAAACAAACAAAACAATCGATATTGAAATGAAAAGAAGAATAAATAACCTTGAATATATCAATAGATAAGTACAATAAACGAAAACATCGATGAATTGGATTAAACAAAGGCATCGGTAGGGATATGAATACCATTTAGTGTAAATATTTTCTACAACACGAACCACGACGACTATTTTGCTTTTATTAGAAAAAAATTACGCAAGCGTTTTAAAGGATGGGTTTTTCTTACAAACACCAGGTTGTAATATATGATCAACTGAATGCACACTCTTGGCAAAATCCATGACTTATGATAAATCAGAGAGATTTATAATTGCATCACAAACAATCCTCAATTTTGCAAGAATGTTTACTAGCGAGTATGTTGTTGATATGGACTTGGGTTTCACTACAAGATTTTAGAAAATGTATTTCATACTGAAAGATGGAAGGTAGACGACAGCCACTAAATTGACTATAGCAGTAAAGCTGCATCTTGGAGATGTTGAAATGTGCATCTTTGATAAACTTTGTGAGGGTGTGAAAATCGAAGATTCTCAAAATCTGGACATAAGTGGATTGCCTGCGACAGCGACGAAAGGACCCTCACCTTGGCGGGTATAGAAGAGCTGGGTTCAGCAAAGAATCTCCAGATATTCCGACACCGGTTTCTCGTCTTGCTCGGGTTTTCTGTCGGTGGGTATTCATTGAGTTGCATGTTGGCCTTTCGATCTTCCTCCAGCTTTCTCAAGGCCTGAAGGGACAAAATTGATACAATCAGACAACGATCTCTTGTTATTAGTTATTGGTTATTGGTTATCTGTCACTGGTCATTGGCCATTAGGAGTTGTGGGAATGGGAAAGATTGAACATAAACAAGACCTGACCTTTTTGTCATTCAATCTCTTTTTTACATGAAAGACACACACATGTATTTATATATATATATATACAATTAAAAGAGGTAATTCTTAGCAAAATTAACACCCCAAAAACAAATTAATAAACAAACAAACTAACTAACGAACAAACGGACAACCAAAAACAAGCAAATCATACAAAAAAACCAAAAGCAAAACAGAACAAAACAGAACTAAACCAATTCTCCAAACAAACCGGCAAAAGAAAAGAAAGGAAAACAAAACAAATTAGAATAAAAAACACTCTTAGCTTTCGCTCCACAATTTCACACATGTGGACAAGAGACAGACGCTCGTGTCTGTGACCTCATTAAGTATGCGCTCGTGTTTCAAGACAAGACCACTTCTACTCGAACAGAAACAGGAGTACTCTCTCTCTCTCTCTTTCTCTCTCTCTCTCTCTCTCTCTCTCTCTCTCT